TAATGAATTACTCACAAAAGAAATATTAAGATATTTATTTTATTGAAGATTTAAAAAATTATTAAAGATTAATTTAGATATTATAAAATTATGATGATAAATAATTTCTTCAAATGACATCAAAATGGTCATTTTATTAAGCTATAAATCAAAATAATTTTTAATATTTAATAATTGAAATAATTGATTTCTTAAAGATTTAAAAGACTAAATTAATATAAAGCGTAACTCTTTAAAAGACTAAAAGAATCAAAGTATTTAAATTTAATTTATAAACTTATTTTTTCGTATATCTTTTTTTATTTTCATATTATAATTTTAAATTATATATAAAATTAAACTGACTTCTTAATAATTTTAAACTCATATAAAAGAAATTAAGAGTTAAAAGGTAAATTATCCTCTTCTATTCATTTTAATTTTAGAATTTAGTTAAATAAAATAATTATTTATAATAATTTTTCATTAACTAATTACTATTAGAAAAAAAAATCTTATAAAATTGAAGTATCTAACTTTTTTCAACTCATAATTATCATTTTATTATTGAAATATATTAAATTAAAATAATATTACTTCAATATTATTAGGACTTAGAAGAAAATATTTATGTCAGAGTAAAAAAAATTAATAAATATTATATTAATGTATTCTTTTATTTTTTATTTAATATATATAAGAATAATTTTTATATTAAAATTATTGTATTTCTTATATTTTTTTCATAAAAAGTTATTGTACATTTAAACAAAAATAAATGAAATAATAATAGTAAGAAATTGAAAAAATGAAAATTAAGAAAAAAATGTCATGTATGGAAGATATGTCGTGCCACTTTAGGATTTGTGGTTTACACTAATTTGCAAATGTTAAATTGCATGTGTATTTATTTAAACAACTTGGTTATGTAACCTCACACGCATACATATATCCCAAATATTTTGACATAATATAGTACATATTTTTATTTTATAAAGGAAAAAATAGTATCCCAATAAAAGGAACTCCCCCACATTGTATTCACCTTTCTTTGGGTCCATTTCCAACCAGCAACCAATGTTGCTCAAGTAACACCATGGCCCATGATCAAGGTATCAGCTCAACTTAGAGCCTAAACATATTTGGACATGTTTACCATTACCAAAACATTTAATTTAAGCAAATAATGATTCAATTAATGAAGAAAGTGGAAGAAAAGATTCAAGAAAGTATAATTGGTTCGTGAGATTCCACCAAAAAGTGCTTTCATCACCATGCTCAACTCAACAACTGCTTTTAGTCTTTTGCCACATAACCCAGTGTTGAATTGCAAAAGTATGTTGGAAAGTTATGGTCTAACGTAAAAAACTAAGATTGAAAGTGGAAGAGTGAGTGAGTGGATTGCCTTTTCTAGAGTGAAAGAGGTGAACTTTAGGGGAAATGGGAGAAATTTGTCACTTGCAAACCATTTGTGGATATTGTAATTGGACCAAAATATTTTGTTTAGTGCAACCCACATAGAGTTTCTTTCTTTGAAACTAACGAGTGTTTGTGTGCGTCAGAGACAAATGTAGAAAAATGATACAAGACATACAACACTTCATTTATTATTATGTGGCATTGTTCAGAAGACACCTTGCAAAGCTCCACAGAACCTTCCCATATTAATAATAATTTGTCTCCGCAATGCTTTCAAATTTTTAATTACGATACTTTCTCTGTTAGGACTTTTAATTTGTTTTATAGTTGAAAATTTACTTTTTGTATTCTTTTAATAAAAAATATACTCTAATTAATTTATGTATATATTTAAATTATATTCAATAATTTCAAGCTAATTTTATTAAAATTAATTTTACTCAATTTTTTGGGGGTTGTTTTTGACTCCTATTTGTAAGTACAAAAATTTGAACACGTTTCAATGCATATTATATATATGTGTCATTTTCCTAAAACAAAATTGAATCGTTGGAGTGGCCAAAAACTCCAATTTGCATTTAATATGACTAAGTTTGCTATTTGCACTCAAGAGGGAACTAGGAAACAAAGAGTTTCGTAGATTTTTCATTCAAAATTATGGTGAATTATGTAATGTTATGACAAAATGTTTGTACCAACTTATTTGCTGAAAGATAAATTGTTAATTTTCATTTAATAAAAATTCAATTTATTTTAGAGATAGTATGTCCCCCAAATTTTATCTTAATCATTAAAATTTTGCCTCGTTATAGTGATTCTAACTTTCGAATACAATTTACATGAAATATATAAGATATTTGGTACAATTTATATTTTTTATTTGATTTTTTTAATTCAAAGTAATTGAATTGAAGGGAAGGATATAAGACAATGAATCCAACTCAAAAGTAGATGCCTCCAACTTGGAGGAGATGGTAGAGAAGAAGGCTCATTCATTCGTGAGGCTACAGGCTTTATAAGGATTAGATGGAAGAGTGGTCATCTTTGTACACTTACTTTTTTTTCAAAAATATCTTAAAATATATTTTTTACTTTAATTAAAAATTATAGAAATTATATAAGTGTCACTCATAATTTAATATTTTTTTTATTTTTATAGTTTTTCATAAAATTTAATTAATAACAAATATATTAAAAAAATATATTACTAATATCGTCATAGTTTTGTTAACTAACTATTAAGTTAATATTTATCCTTAAAATTATAATAAGAATATATTAATAATATTCAGTATTATATCCTTTCACATATTCTTTAACCGTTACTTTGGAAAAAACGATTGGTAAAAGTATGAATAAATTACTATTCTAAATGCAAAGTACTGTTTTAGGACTTCTATATATACGTTTTTATTATACTTAATATAATCGAAGATATTTAATTATTAATTAAAACAATGAATAAAACATTATTTTCTTTGACTGGATAATTTATTAAAGAGAATATAAAAGCTCAAAACATACATCGCAAAGCAAAGAAGATGTATGATTGTATGAGAAAGAAAGTATGTCAAGAGTGATTTTTCCTCGTCAAAAATGAAAATGACTTCAATTATCATAAAAATAATTAAGTTAATAATATAAGGAAAAAATAAATTTGCAGTGATTGCTACTATTTATAAGGTTTAATTTTTTTTAGTTTTTATATTAAAATTTATGTATGATTTTAATCTTTGTAATTTTAATTGTTCATATTTAATCTCTCTAATTTTTAATTGTTTAAATTAAGTTTCTCATCCAAAATTTTATCCAATAATTAATAAAAATATAACAGTAAGATAGTATATTATTTATTTGGATAAATTATTTAAAGAAAGATACTGAATAAAATGTGTAATATTAAACCTTTTTTATTTATATTTAATTATTTTATGCCAATTTTTTATAAAATTGTAAAAATCAAGGATATATTATATATTTGTTAATTATTGAATAAATTTTTAAAATAATAGACTGAATTTGAATAATTGAGAAACTTAAAAGATTAAATCCGAGTAATTAAAATTAGAAAAGATAAAATTACACATTAAATAGAATAATATATGAAGATTAAAAATACAGTTAAGCTTATTTTCAATTTTTGAATAGTAAGTTTGTTAATTAATAATAAGGATGATATGACTTTGTTACTCACAGCATAACTTGTTTGTCTTGTATTACGGTGTCATATAAGGTTGAGAAATTGACTCTTTTAAAGTATAATATGTGTTTTAATAGATAATCCAAAATAATTACCATGAAATGTGATAAAATACATGCATATACACAATAAATTATAAAATTATTAAGATGTTGATAATCAATTTCCCAATCAACACGATCATTCTGTAGTTTGGATTAAAAATGCATCCCCATTGTAGGGGAATGAATTCCTAAATATGATCCAACCAAAATAGGCTAAGATGCATGCACTCTCCTATTGAATTTTACGAACCCATACTCATCCAGAGTAAGGTCTCACATCAGTGCTATTATGCAAATTTCAAATAGTTCTTTAGGTACAATCTAACCATGTGTTAAGTAGATCACGCTGTATAGATGAGCCAATTCAATTAATTTAAGTTAACCCATCACTAGGTTAATTTAAGGAAGTTGGGTCAGTCATTTTCAGTGGACTAAGAAATTATTAACTTGATTTAACTTGTCAAGATTTATTAGTTAATTAAGTTAGTACATTAAAAAAAAAAAAAAAAACTTAAACCTACCTGAGAGTACTCTCATTCTTATAAATCTCCAAACTCAACTTTAGGTGTTTGCAAATTAAAGATAATTGATTTTAAGAATAAATATCCTATCATTTTTTATATTTTTACCATATAATTTATTTAGTTATAAATTTAAATTTGAATTAAATTTAAATTAGTAAAAAACATTTAAATTAAAGTACATCGTTTTTATTAATATTGTGTGTTAAGTCTAGATTGATATTTTAGCATTGTATGTATCTTTTAGAAGAGAGAATTATATTTGATTATGTAATATAATACTTAAAATCACATATTAAATGAAAGAATTTTACAGTAATTGATTGAAATTATTATAATTTTAATATTTATTTATTAAAAAATGTCTTAAATATTTGTTTTTATTTAATTTGATATATAATATTAATAATTATATTTTAAAAAATAAAATAAATACAATTTAATTGATTTTTTTAACTTTCTAATATTAATTAAGTTTAATTTTAAAATTGATATACCATATAAAATTAAAATATATTTTCAAATAAATTAAAGATATTTTTTAAACAAACTAAATTTTAAGATTGTTATAATCTTCATCCGTCGTAAATTAAATTAAATTTATAAATTTACTAATTATATTATAATATATTTTCCAAAAAAGAAAAATATACCTCTGGCATAGAAGGCAAATCCAAAAGAAAAAAAGAGCAGTTAACATTGAGATCCAATCCTCGAGCAAAATAAGAACTTTAATTTTACCTTAATTTTATTCCCGTGCCAAAAAGGAGAAAATTATTACAATTAATATTAATAATTTTTTGCAATATTTTTTTTTCTCCTTTTGCTTCACAAAATCGCAATTTCGTATCGCTCGTTTCCGTTTCCATTCGAGGAGAGACAGTGCCTGCCGCCACTGTTCTATGCGCCCCCTTCATCATCATCATCATCATCGTCGTCATCATCATCATAACCATCATCCCCACCATCATCATCATCATCATCAACAACAACAACAACAACAACAACAACAACACCGCCACCACCATCACCATCTTCATATTCCTCACCCTGAGAAAACCTAGGGTTCCCTCTCCGCCAAAACCCTCCCCTATTCCATGTACGATCACTGAGGAGGGTTTCCGATTTGGATGGCATTGGGAGATTTAATGGCCTCTCGCTTTTCCCAATCCACCGTTCTCGTCGTTCCCAACCACAACCACCACGACGATTCTACTGCCTCCTCCTCCTCCTCCATCGTCCCTGCCGCCGCCGAAGACGGCGATTTCCCCCATCGCCGTGACTCCGAAACCGCCATCGCCAGCAGCAGCACAAACTACACCGGTAATGCCGCCACCAGCATGGCCTATCTGCCGCAGACTGTTGTCCTCTGCGAGCTCCGCCACGAGGCCTTCGAGGCCGCTGTTCCCGTCGGACCCTCCGACAGTGGCCTTGTCTCCAAATGGCGACCTAAGGATAGGGTGAGTTCAATCGCTGTGTTTTTGCCTCTGGAAATTTTGATTCGCTCGTCGAACCATGTTCTGTGTGTCCGTGTTATTCGCATTCTGCTGTGACGAATTCTTGATTCGCGTTTCGGCTGACGTGTGCATGAAAAATAGTGTAATTCCTCTATGTTATGTGTTCTGCCTCATGAAAAGCAATATTTTGGGCAATGAAAACATCGTTGCAGTGGTCAATGCCTTCATTTGTGGATGCATAAATAACGTCATCACGTACTTGTTGTGGATGTAATGTTTGACCTGTTAAATATCAAATTTTGCAAAAGATGGGTTTGGATCCAGCAAAGTGCAAAGAGTAACGTGCTGAGTGGTAGTGATTAATGAGAAATTTAAGAGTGAGAGTGAGTTCTATCATATCCATTGATGCAGCTTCTCTCTTTACTCTAGTGTCACTGTACATTTTAGAGGATCTCAAATTCAATCGATTCAAATAATGATAACAGTAATAGTAATAGTAAACTTGAAACATGCATTGGGGAAATTTCTTATATTGATTATACACTCAGTAAAATTGATAAATTGTCCTAGAATTGCTCGACCAAGTTAGTAATTTATGAACTTAGGCAGGGAAAATAATAGGCCTTGGGTAAATCCTTGTGGCTTGTTTGTGTAGATGAGAGGTTGGTAGTTTGTTACATTGTTAAAATAGCAGAAGTTGGTTTACACTTGACGGTGATAAGTCTGGTCGAATTATACAAATGTAAAATATAAAAATAAATATGCATGCTGTTTTAAAAGAAGTGTTGATTTAAATTCCAACTCTCCTTAAAATTGTGAAATAGGCAAGCCACTTCTTCCTAGTCTGACTGTATAGCTGAAATTTAGTGTTAGTGAGTTTTCTTTTGCCAATTATTTTTTTTGCTTCAGTGTTCTTCCTTTTTACAACTAGTTCTACTTTTTGCAAAAATAAATTGAGGTTTCTTCAACATAAGCAGCTATTTGGTGGTGGTTAATGTTCTAGAGGCATCAGTAGAATGAAGTTCCATTCACTCTGGCTGTCTGACATTTACAATCTTCTAAAATGTCTTATTATCATAATGGATGTAACTTGAGAAGGTAGAATGAGATTTTTCTCTTTAATGCAATATTATATTTATTGCTGCATTTGAAATAACATATTATGATGTAGTGTGAAATGTGTTCTAAATCACAATGGGTTTTGTGGTGACAGTGACTAGCATAATTGCTTTCAGTGCTATAAAAGAAATCTGCTTTATTTTTCTGTTTAATTATTTACAGTTGGTTCTTTTCTGGGGGAAGGGTGGAGCCCAAATTGTCTATATAATTTTCCTCCCTTATTTATAAATGGTGTAATAGTCTACCTTTGTGAGGGATTTCTTGAAGTTATACTGGCATTGTACATTTTTTTTTCCAAATCAGAATAAATTTTCATTCAGAGTTTCTGTTTTTTCCTGCTAAGATGTTCTAACTTCTAATGAATGTTTCTGAAAGATGTTTGTATATTTTATATGTGGCAAGAAGTATGCTTTGTTTTAACTCCTAATTTTGTGATGCAGATGAAGACAGGATGTGTAGCTCTAGTATTATGTTTAAACATTAGTGTTGATCCACCAGATGTAATAAAGATATCCCCTTGTGCCAGAATGGAGTGCTGGATAGGTCTCTTTTTAACGTTCTAATGTCATTTACTTTTAATTAATTTTCTGTATTTTGTGCTGCTAAGTTACTTCCTGGCTTTGAGATTTTTTTTTTGCATTTTTTGTTTTATTATTGTTTGGAAATAGCTATGGGTTTCTTAATAATGTTATAGTTTTGTTTTTTTGTCATAACTATTTGTTTTTACAAGTTCATATCGCTGTTCTATCCAAACCAATAGTAAATGAGATTTTTTGGCTGTAAAACATATAGCATGCTGCTTTGCACTTATATTATATCATATCGTTGAACATTTAGACTTGTACTTTTACTTGCCTTATCCAAGCCTACTTATTTAGAATTAGTTGGTTCTTTGTCAATGAAAAATGTAGATAAATAAAGTAGAACCTTTGTGATGTATCAAAACTGTAGATGCTTGCAATTATGGTTGTGGTGCATAGGCATTTTGGAGCTTGACTTTTCAATACTGCAGATCCTTTTTCTATGGCACCACAAAAGGCATTGGAGTCAATTGGAAAAACTTTGAGCAGCCAATATGAAAGATGGCAACCAAAGGTGCAAATGTTTACCTAGTTATACTAAACCCTATATTACCTTTTGAAATTGATTTTTAGTTAACCTTGTGGGCGTGTTTACAGGCCCGCTACAAATGTCAACTTGATCCGACAGTGGAGGAGGTGAAGAAGCTTTGTACTACATGTCGTAGATATGCAAAGTCGGAGAGAGTTTTATTCCATTACAATGGGCATGGTGTGCCAAAGCCAACTGCGAATGGTGAAATTTGGGTCTTCAATAAGGTCATTTTTTCGCCTTCCTAGTTGTTAAAGTGAGACAATTATTTGATAAATGTTGTTCTGTTAATACTGGAAATGTAGAATAGACAAGGATGTATCTGTATAGATTCCCATGTCCAAAAATGTAATTTTTTCTTTAGAGGGAGGTAGAAAAAATGAAAATGGGAGAATGGAAAATGAGTGAGTTTGAAAGTAGGAGAAATCTATGGATAGAAGGAATGTGGGGTGGCCAAAGTATGAGAAGAAAATGGGTAAGGTAGAAATTTCACTATTTTTAGTCTATGTAAGATGAGTATAATGTATGTTACAAACCCAAGAATCAAATTGAAAAAATAAAAGAAATATTTTATTGAATTGAATGGAAAGAACAGAAAATAGGAGAAAGAATGAGATCGCTCCTCTAAGGGGTTCCCTTCCACAAAGAGCAAAAGCTCAATTGCAAATGATAGCAAATCTGAATCCCCTTCCCTTTACATCTTTATCCTATTTATTTACCTCACAAATCCCCTTCTAACTAACTTCTTTCACTAACTAATTATCCTAACTTTTTTGTTGTTGTTGCTATTCTAACTATCCTAACTTTCATTACCTAACTACAATAACTATCCTAACTAACTTTCCCTTCTTTCTCTCTTAGCTCCTAACAGTATTTTAATTATATTACTTGTAAAGTCTCTTATTTTGTTCAGCTTATGGGTTGGGAGATATTAAATAATCAGGAAAAAGACCAGGAAATAATTTCAAAAATAGGGGCAGATTTTTCCACAGATGAGAACTAGGGTTGACAATAATTATAAGCTGGAAATTGCAAATGTTTATACTTGTAACTTTACTATGATAATAAATGACAAACCTAAATTGGATCTAAATTTTTATTTATCAGAAAGGCTGGTTAATTTAACTCTGGCTACTATACCCAGTGGATTCCAATGGAGTAAAATGTCCTCTGTTACTATATAATAATGAAAACAACTTTATGACATTGTTAATCACATTCTTCTTCATATCTTATTCAGAGTTATACGCAGTATATCCCTTTACCAATCAGTGATCTTGATTCCTGGCTGAAGACTCCATCAATTTATGTTTTTGATTGCTCTGCAGCTGGGATGATTGTGAATTCCTTCATTGAGGTATTCACTCAAAATCATGTTAAATACTGTATAAAGGAAACTGCAAATATATAGGTGCTGATTTTTCCATTTTTGTAATTTGGACTGCCAATTTTGTTACTGGACTTGTTATTGATAGCTTCACGAATGGAGTGCTTCCAACTCCTCTGGGTCCCCAAGGGATTGCATTCTGCTTGCAGCATGTGAAGCACATGAGACTTTGCCTCAGAGTGCTGAATTTCCAGCCGATGTGTTCACATCTTGCCTTACAACACCTATAAAGATGGCATTGCGATGGTGAAGCTTCTTTCATTAATTCCTGCTTAGTTTTTCCTGTTCAAAATGTTTCATATGTTAAACACTGAGAAAGGTCTAGTATACCTTATCATTATTAGCAATATACATGGACTTCTAAATAATGCACACATTTGTAACATGAGTGATATCAGTTTACCCACTCAATCTTTTGCCTTATTATATATTTCACAGATTGAACCCTGAGTTAATTTCTTATTAACATCTGAAGAGTAGCATTTTTTATGATTTCTGATTGTATACATCATAATTCATAATCATTAATACCTTGAGTTTTTTTTTTTTTTGTTATCAGCTGATCCTATTATTTTTGGTGTAACTTATTGCTGCTAGACTTTATGTCAACTGCTGTAGGGATGATATAAAAACACCACTGATAAAGACAATTTTTACTAGAAGTTGATTTTAGTTTGACAATGTCTTTATTTTATGTAATTCCTAAGCTGTTAAGTGGTAATAAGTGTATATTTTATTCTAAAATGGCTATTAATAATTTGTTTTGTGATGTAATTTATCTCTAGGTTTTGTACTCGTTCATTACTTCGTGAGTCACTTGATTATTCACTTATAGACAAGATCCCTGGCCGCCCAAATGACCGAAAGACACTTCTGGGTGAATTGAATTGGATCTTTACAGCAGTAACTGATACAATTGCCTGGAATGTTCTTCCTCATGGTAGGTCAACCCTCTCATCTTCTTACTGACTGACGGAATTACTGTCCTGTATATTTTAACTGCAGTTATTTAGCAAGAATTTTTAGTTGGTATCATGTATTTTTATATTGATAATTATTTTTTGTCCTGCAGATCTTTTTCAGAGACTGTTCAGACAGGATTTGCTTGTTGCAAGTCTGTTTCGAAATTTTCTACTTGCTGAACGAATTATGCGATCTGCAAATTGTTCTCCTGTCTCTCACCCAATGTTACCACCAACCCATCAGCATCATATGTGGTATTGTTTGTGATTATTGTTAATTTTTACATGTGTTGACAAACTTTGTCAGCAGTTTATGTTATCATCCACATTTCACACTGCAGGGATGCCTGGGATATGGCTGCTGAGCTCTGCCTCTCTCAACTTCCGTCATTAGTTGAGGATCCTAATGCTGAATTTCAGGTATCTGGATTTTTCTTTTTGCAATAGCTCCTCCGATATAAAGTTCATTCTGAAATTGATTATTAAATAATAAGAATTAGCTCAGATATTATGGTATAACAAGAATAATTATAATACTAAAGATCATTTATGATAAGTTTTGTGCTTAGTGGATGAAGCATATGGCTTTTCTCTTTCAGCCTAGTACTTTTTTCACGGAGCAGTTGACAGCATTTGAAGTATGGCTTGACCATGGTTCTGAAAACAAGAAACCACCAGAGCAGTTGCCGATAGTTCTTCAGGTGCGATGCATGCCTTGGTTTTTGTTACCTTTGGAGTCATTGTGGTTATTTATAATACTTGTGTTATGTAAACTAAACAATTTTTAGGAAATCAGTTATCAGGCCATGTTTCCAATTGGGTTTTGGTGGGTAAGATATAATTAGCTTTTCTAGGGTGAAATTATTTCAAATTTGTTGATGTACATCATCATCCTTATGATGGACTTGTGGAAATTAGTTAAATGGTTTGTTTATTGAGTTTAAACTCTTAGCAAATAGCAATATGGCTAGAATCCAGAAGTAGTAATGGCAATGAACATTTTCTGATTTGTTCATTCAGCCAACAGTGTATGGGTAGTACTAAATGCTTCTCTCAAAGTGTTTCATTATTCTTTGTTATTTATTTATTATGGGGACTTTCTAGCAAGTTGTTTTGTATAGGTTTGCTAATCTTACTCGTACATTTACGGTGATCAGTTGTGCTATAGAATCTCATTTGCATAGTGACATTTCAACCTTTTGGTTTATGCATTTACAACTCTCAGTTCAGTTTTTGCCCTTTTCACTATATGTATATTTTATACTTCTGGGAAAGTTGTTTTGCAGTTGTTGAGGCTTTGCGCACATTGATAAGTATTAATTTTCCTATTTCAGGTTTTACTTAGTCAATGCCATCGATTTCGGGCTTTAGTACTCCTTGGAAGGTTCCTTGATATGGGGCCATGGGCTGTAGATCTGGTAATTTTTCTCTCAGCTCATTGACTTCTGTTGCAACTGTTTTACCTATTTATAAAAGGTTTATGATATTATGACTTGATACCAAGTTTTTTTTTATGTAGGCATTATCTGTTGGAATATTTCCTTATGTTCTAAAGCTGTTGCAAACAACTACACCAGAACTGCGGCAGATTCTTGTATTCATATGGACAAAGATTCTTGCACTTGACAAGGTACTTGTGAAAGAGGATAATTTGTCTTTAAGACGATGTCATTTATGTGAGTTTTGCTCAATATGTAAGTCATTGAAGTTTTGCTGTGAGCCTGTGACAGACAAAGATGTTTTTACTGTAACTATTGCAGTATATAAACATGTGTACGTGGTACTGGACAAACTGAGAAAAGTTGAAAGAGGAAAAGGAGAAGATAATAAAAATAGGGAATGAAGCATTTACACTTTTTTTAGATGAAAAGAAAGGTTTTAAAATTTGAAATGGAGGGAAAGCTTGCAACCGGGAGTTTAGAAGTTTGCGTTTCTTGAATTTTCTTGATTCCCTAATTTTCTTCATTGCTTTTCAATCAAACAATAATTTTTTTTGCAAATTCCAAAAATTCTTTCTACCCTATTTACTCTCTCCATTTGAGCATAGGGTAGGGCCAATATGCTGGTGCTCAATCATTCAACACTATTAATAAATCTTTATATAGGCAATCCTATTTTAACTTTTCTTTGGAATGACAAACATTCAGTTGGCCATTGATCATTTTATTAATTTAATTCCAAAGTTAATAAAAAAATGCAAACCATGTTATCAAATTCATGTGAACAACTCCTTAATTATACAATGGAATTAATAACTGACTAATTGTGAATATTACAAAATTTTCTATTTTTCCCTTTAATATGTATGTCCTATTTTATTTTCCTCAAAAATTTGGTGTTGAAACTCAGTGTTGTATGTCTATTGTGTCTGGCAATGATGATGTCCCATTGCTGGGTTGCAGTCATGTCAGGTTGATCTAGTGAAGGATGGCGGTCATATCTATTTTATTAAGTTTCTTGATAGCATGGAAGCATATCCAGAACAACGTGCAATGGCTGCTTTTGTTTTGGCTGTGATTGTGGATGGTCATAGACGAGGCCAAGAAGCTTGTATTGAAGCTGGTTTGATCCATGTCTGTTTAAAGCACCTTCAGAGTTCATGTCCTAATGATTCACAAACAGAACCCCTTTTCCTTCAGTGGCTTTGCCTGTGTCTGGGAAAATTGTGGGAAGACTTCTCAGAGGCACAAACATTTGGTTTGCAGGAAGATGCAACTACTATATTTGCTCCTCTACTGTCTGAACCCCAGCCAGAGGTTTACTGCACTTCTTATTGGCTCTTTTTATGGTTGCCAGCTGATTATGATTTTGGTGTATTAACCAAATAAATTGAGTCATGTAATTTATTGTTTTGCAGGTTAGAGCATCTGCTGTTTTTGCACTGGGTACCCTTCTTGATGTGGGATTTGATTCATGTAGAAGTGTTGGAGGAGATGAAGAATGTGATGATGATGATAAGTTTAGGGCTGAAGTTAGTATAGTTAAGAGTCTGTTATGTGTTGCTACAGATGGGAGTCCATTGGTGAGGGCAGAGGTAGCAGTGGGTAGGTGATTAAGCATAAAAATTTATTTATTTTGAATGTTTTGTGAAATGATTTTATGTTCTTTATGATAAGTAGTGAGGCTGGTGCTTATTTATTTTTTTAATAGATATCATCCCTGCAAATGCCTAATCATCTGCAAACAAGTTCCTAATGGTTAGTTGTTTCTGAACTTAGAAAAAGACGAAAAAAGACTTTAAACTAATTAACTATTGTAAATGAATAAAAAAGAAAATTTAGATAAGAAAAGTGATTAAACTTGCATCTAAATACTTCATTTGTCACTATTATTATTTATTATTTATTATTATTATTATTATTATTATTATTATTTATTTCTGATTGTTATCTCTAGTTTGTTAATTATGACTGCAAATTGGCTTGCAGTCTAAGATAACTTAATGTAGTCTTTATAGCTGGGAGGACTGGTGTGCTTTAGGGTGGGATGGATCTGGGACGTTTTTCTGACTTTTCTTTTTTGTAAACTTTCAGCCCTAGCACGATTTGCTTTTGGCCACAACAAGCACCTGAAATCTATTGCTGCTGCATATTGGAAGCCCCAGACTAATTCTTTGATAAATTCCTTACCTTCATTGGCTAATATAAAAGGTTCAGTTGTTGGATATCCTAACCAGAACCAACATATACCTCATGGAAGTATTGTTTCACCTCAAATTGGTCCTATTAGGGTTGGTAATGACAAATCTTCAGTGGTTCGAGATGGACGGGTCTCTTCTAGCAGTCCTCTCACTACTTCAGGGATCATGCATGGGTCCCCATTGTCTGATGATTCTTCTCATCATTCTGATTCGGGAATACTGAATGATGGTTTCAGCAATGGAGTAGTTAATCACACTGGGCCAAAGCCCTTGGATAATGCTTTGTATTCACAGTGTGTACTTGCTATGTGTACTTTAGCAAAAGATCCATCTCCGCGCATTGCAAATCTTGGTCGCCGGGTGCTGTCCATAATAGGTATTGAACAAGTGGTTGCAAAACCATTGAAATCTAGTGTTGTTCGGACTGCTGAAGCTACAGCTTCACCTAGTCTTGCCGGACTGGCTCGGTCCTCTTCTTGGTTTGATATGAATGGAGGTAGATTTCTCTGTCCAATTTATTTAACTGTTAATGTTGTGGGATAATTTCCTATGTAGCTTGGTAAAGTTTATTGCTTTGTATCAATTTATTCTTGTGATAATTTATTGCTTTTCTATTTATTATTGCTTGCTGCTTTTGCAGGACACTTGCCTTTGACCTTCAGAACTCCTCCAGTCAGTCCACCTCGCCCAAGTTATATAACTGGAATGCGTAGAGTATGCTCATTGGAGTTTAGACCCCACCTGATGAATTCTCCTGATTCTGGATTAGCTGATCCACTTTTAGGTTCCAGTGGAACCTCTGGGGCTTCAGATCGCAGTTTTCTTCCACAATCAACTATATATAATTGGAGTTGTGGTCACTTCTCCAAACCACTTTTAACTGCTGCAGATGATAGTGAAGAGGTATTAGCTAGAAGAGAAGAGAGGGAAAAATTTGCATTGGAGCACATAGCAAAATGCCAGCATTCTGGTTTGTATTTTTTTTTTCTAATAGTAAGTCTTCACAGATGTTTGGTTGATGACTTTATGTCATTTTATTCTTTCAGCTGTTAGCAGGCTGACAAATCCAATTGCTAAATGGGACATAAAGGGTACACAAACAGCATTGCTGCAACCTTTCTCTCCTATAGTTATAGCTGCTGATGAGAATGAACGAATCAGGTATGAAAAGTTCATCAATACCATCATTAGTTAAGTTGAGACTGTTGTAAAGCTGGCATGTCTTTAGACAAAGTGCCAGATAGTGTTTCTTTTTTTCTTCTTCTGTGTTTAGAGAATATTAGGACAATTATATACACGCCATGAGGGTATCTGTAGCTAATGGTTAAGAGTTATCAATTTTTAAATCTTGTTTAAATTCAGGGTTGGTAGTACAAAGCAAGACTGGTTGACATTTATCAAATATAGACTCCTTGGCATTTAAATGACAAAATTCTTAGCATAGTTTTACAGACAATAGCAATTGTGTTTTGACTAGATCGAATTTCATTGCTGTTCGTCTTTGTATTTCACCGTTTTGATTTTTGTTGTTGAATAGTGTCCTTTGGTGTTTTCCACAGGATATGGAACCACGAGGAGGCAACACTGCTAAACAGTTTTGATAATCATGATTTTCCTGACAAAGGAATTTCTAAGCTCTGCCTTATAAATGAGCTTGATGATAGCTTGCTTCTTGCTGCTTCATGTACTTTTCTCTGCTGTTTAATATTATCTATTCTTTTCTCAATTTTTTTTCAGAGTATATAATATTATGTAATCTTATGATGCAGCTGATGGAAACATCAGGATTTGGAAAGATTATACTCTGAAGGGTAAACAAAAACTTGTCACTGCATTTTCTTCAATTCATGGCCATAAACCTGGTATGAGGAGTCTGAATGCAGTTGTTGATTGGCAACAGCAATGTGGTTATCTGGTATATGGTTCTTTGCTTATGGTTCTTTGCTTATTTTTGGGAATGTGGGATTCCTTCCTCTCCCAATCAAGTCCCTTAAATAGAAACTCTTATTCTTCCTCTATATTGTGATGTTAATGATTTTTTTATTTTATTTTTTGGGGTGATGTTCCATGTCCCAATTATACATTTACCAGTATGCATCGGGTGAGATGTCATCTATTATGCTATGGGATCTTGATAAAGAGCAGCTTGTTAATTCTATACCTTCATCATCAGATTGCAGTGTCTCAGCTTTGGTAAGCCGCATCTATTTGTGATGTAGTTTGTCTTGGTAATTATTATATTTGCTCAAACAATTATTTTCGCATGATAGTTAGGCAGAGGTTATACTTTAAGGTAAATGTACTGATTTATTTTCTAAGAAAATTGAGCTAAATCTTTTGCTAGGTTTGACATGACAACTACCTTAGACGTCTTAACTTGTAATTCATGATGTCTTGTAAAGCCTCTTTTTCATAATAATGGTTAATTGCCTATTACTTTGAACAATCCCTCCCTCCTCACTTTTCTTGGGCTTCTTCAAATTACTGCTTGTGTTTGAACGTGAGGACTTAAAGTACCTTTGTTGATTGAATGTTTACCTTCTCTAGGGCAAATTTTCAATCCCAAATAGTGGTGCTGGTGCACAGTAGCATACCTCAAATCTACTGTAGCAAGTAGCGAGATGCTGGCTATTATTATCATATTATAATAGTGATAGTGTTACTTTCTTCTTGAAACGGCAGCTTTCAAAGTCTCTCTAGGCTAATGAAGATAGGGCTATAACTCCTGACTTGAGGTTTTGAGAATAGGATTTGGTGGAAACTGGGATCAAACATAATTACTTTTCATTCTGATCAATTGTTGTACCGATGGGTGTTTGTGAAAGAAGATTTTTGGGAATGATGGGCACTCATCATGTGCTGCAGCTTGAGGAAAAGATACCTCGATGAAATTTGAAACCCAATCAGGATAACAAACGCCACTGTTCAAAGTCATTGATATGCACTGGCTATGCAATCCCTCTACTTGATTTGATAATTGATCTCTTGCTTCCAGATCTGCCTTGTGGGTCTGTTGAAGGGAGGACCGGAAAAAAAGGGTATATTTCATATATGGTGGGTGAGGGGATGGCCGCACATCAGCAGTAGGAAGGTCCAAGTTAGGTGTCTGTACAGGGGAGAATTGGTCTTGAATTTAGTTTAAGGTTACAGAAAATTGTAAGGAAGTATTTGGCTAATGTCCACTTCCACTGTTTTTAGATTGGGAATTGGGAACAAGCCAACCAGCAAACAGGTAGTTACCAAACACTACCTTCATTCTTTGGAATGAACAAAACCATATGCCTAGATTGGCGACTTAAGGATTTGGGAGATGAGCCCTTCTCTGCACAGGGAAATTTGCCTGGATCTTGATACACCCATGCATCTCTTTTTCCTGCTACCTCACTCCCCATCCCAGCTTGGTTTTGTTACATGCCACAGAAAGACACCCATTCTTTTTCTCTCTTTGCTGACACTTGATTGGATCCTTAGGTCCTATTTTTGAGACATGGTGACAATATGAACATAAGAAAGAATAGTCTGTATTGTGAGGAATCAGTTTTTATTTAGCTATCTGCGTCAATGGAATGGATCTCTTTTTTAGCTTATCTGTATGCTCACCCAATTGGATCGGACTCGCCGTTCCTAGTTTTGACAGACATTAAATAGTTTATGCTAAACCTATATATATGCTAAGAAAAAGACATTCATAATTGATATTTTAATGATCAAAAGCCATAGAAGGCAACACAACATAGAAAGAGGAAACTTGAGAGACCTGTTTCAGATTGTGGAGTCTGGTGCAACAAAGAAGAAAGAATAGAGCAGGGATGTAACAGTAACTTGGGAGAATGGAGTAGAGAACAAAACAGAGATCTGTAGAGGTCAACAGGCTGGCTTGAAAAATACTGCCAGAGAAAGGTGGATGGGTGTTATTTATCCAGTGTCAAGACTCAAAAGTGTTGCATCATGGTGGGTAAACAAAGGAAACTAGGAATTTTCATTCAACTCTGAAAGGGGGGTGGGGGCTGGTTGAAATTGCTATCTTGCCAACAAAAATAATAACCCTAAATGATGCTGTTACAAGGGGTAAAACTGGGTTTTAAAATTCTATCATTGTAACACTGATTCAGTGTGAAGGCTGTGATTGTTGCTATGAACCAAAACTACTTGGCAAACTTGACTTCTATGGTGGTCCAGGGCCACTGCCTTGCAATGCTACTATAATTCACTATTAACTACTAGTTCTAGAATTCAATTCTTTACCTGTCTCTGTTTTCATGCTTAGCCCATGTCTATTTTGGATATTATGAGTGAAGGTTACCTTCTCATACCAACCTCTTCAAATATGTTGAAAAGATTTAGGATTTGGAGAATAAAGAAACTTGGGATGGCTGGGGTATGCTTTCAGATAGTTTACTGTATATTTTCATTTTCTTCTTGATGACGATTTTAGGAGAAGCTAAAATCATTGAGCTAATTGCTCAGACAACTCGGGGGTGCTTGGTTGTGTGCTATCATATCTTTGAACTGTTTCTATGGGATTTGCTTGCAGTATTATTTTTTTCAATCTGTAATAAGATAACAATGAAGTTCTTTATAAACAAATTTTATCCTTTGATTTCCAATCATGTGTTTCAGGCTGCATCTCAAGTTCATGGGGGACAATTTGCAGCTGGTTTTGTAGATGGTTCTGTCAGACTTTATGATGTTAGAACACCTGAAATGTAAGCACCTCGGATGAATTTCTTCTATCATGGTGCAGTTATAATTGTTTTTATTGAATTGAGAAACATTTTTATTTACCAGCTCCTATATAATATTCTTTTGACTTTTGACATGGTTACTTGCATGCATTTACATATAAGTTTTATCAAGTAAAAACCTTTTATGGTTCAATTTAGAAGCCTCCATGTCTTTAATTAATGACAATCATGCTTTCCAGGCTTGTCTGTGGATTAAGGCCTCACACTCAGAGAGTAGAAAAAGTTGTGGGGATTGGCTTTCAACCTGGATTAGACCAAGGAAAGGTAAAGAGTACCTTGCTAGGCTTGTCATTGGACTTTTAAAATTGATCATGTGATATCATGTTTAACGGCTCAAATTAACTTTTTTCATTCTCATAAATATAACTTTCTCACTAGATACATCCCCTATATAGTATTTGATGGCTTCTGCATATAATTTGTTCTTGGTTGAAATTTAGTGACTGATCTGTGAATGTAATTTGAAATGGGTGATGAATCATATGAAATAATGTCATTTTTTCCTTCAGATTATCAGTGCTTCTCAGGCTGGGGATATCCAGTTTCTTGACATAAGAAATCATAGCGGCACCTATCTCACTATTGAAGCCCACAGGGGCTCCCTCACAGCTTTAGCTGTACATAGACACGCTCCAATTATTGCCAGTGGTTCAGCCAAACAACTCATTAAAGTTTTCAGCCTGGGAGGTAATCAACTAGGCACCATTCGATACTATCCTACCCTAATGGCCCAGAAAATTGGTTCCGTAAGCTGCCTCAGTTTCCATCCATACCAAGTATTACTTGCTGCGGGTGCTGCGGATGCATGCGTATGTATCTATGCTGATGACAACACTCAAGCAAGATGAATCCTCATTTTTTCCCATGGTGATTTCATCGGTTGTCTCCAGCTCAGAAGAGTGCATCAAACATCTCTCAGGAATGCCACTCATATTTCTTGCAGCTGGATAATCCTGTGAAGATGCTTTTATCCCTCTCCGCTGTGAATACATCTGAAAATATTGGTAGGGGTACATTCTGCTGATAGTGTATGCAAGATATTCATTAGCCTCCATGGTAGAGGGTTGCACTCGACAGGAAGAAAATCGTGCTTATTGATTGGAGGCTTCGGCAAATAATGTCATCTTCGTAAATGTGTGTAAATATCAATTTCTCCATAATTATATTTCATTCCTGTTTTGCGTGCTATTTTCCACCCTTGATTTGTAAATTTTTTAGTCAGAATACAAAAGCTAGTTTGCTGACAAATGTGAGTGATTGACTCCTGATAAATGGGGCATGTCACTCATGGTTGTAGTTTCCGTGGAATTGGGGACCCTTGTTTTTAACCAACATGTAATTAAATTCAAGTTTGTCCAAGTGTGAAATTTCTGTCAAGCTAGTGGTGCACATTCTATTGAGCTTGCGACACGGTGCTGTGATAGTGATTTCATTCGTTGCACAAGGAATATTTGTCTCGTACGATGTCCCAAGCCTCCTGTGTATCTGATTTAAGTATTACTTTTGGTGCATCAACCTTAATGCTGGGGGAAGGGGGTGTTTTTCTCTTTTCACGGTCATGTCATGTACAAATGTACAGTTTTCTCCATAGGACACTGCGTATGAATGAGTCTGAAGTTTACTAACCTCTTCCGCCGCGTTGTGGTCCTTGGGAAAAACAAATCTGGGAGACTAAAATATATGTTCTTATAGAAGTCAGTCCGATCTAAGTTCTCAACATGTAAAATGAGTATCTTAAAAAGTAATTAATCATGTCCCCCAGCATGAACTAATCATGTCAAGGGTATGAAAAATGACTCTATCTTACAAAAACAGAGCAAAGTTATTGTATGAAAAATGTTACTCCTTTTTAAAATATCGTATTAATGGATTAAAATCAGATAATTGACCGGAGTTATCTTCAATTGAGTGAGTTGATATTGACGCCCTTTTTTCTTTTTGCCTTAAAATTTCTGAAAAAGATATCCAATGCAAATTTGTAATTCGCAAAACAATTCACGTCACTTCGCAATAAGTTATACATAAACTTCAATAACATTAAATAGTTTCAAACTAAATCTACTATATTATGACAAACAAATTAAATTATCTTGACAAAATAATAATGGTATTTCTATAGTGCCTTAAAGATTAAGACGATATTTTATCTTTTTTTATGTAGAATAATTATTACTTATAACTGCTAATGTTACCTTAATTATGTATAATAGACAATGAAAATGTATAATAGTAAGTATTAATAAAAATTATAGACAATCATGCCACGTTTTTAAACATTAAAACTATGTTTGAAAGTGATCTTAGAAGCAAAAGAAAAAAAAACATTTTTTTCAACAAATAATATCAAATTTAACAAATATACAAAATAGAAAAAATTTAAAAAACTTAATGACTTGTTTCTTTTTATAAAAATTATATAATATATAATATTTAATAATAAATTTTCCCTCTTTCCTTTCAAAACTGCGCTATCAAAATGATATAGGCTGCTCGATTAAGGGGTATGAAAATATAGAAAGGATCGACAAGCGTAAATCAACAAATTGATACAAAAGGCAGAATAAGATTACATACAATTTGGCCGATGGAATGAATCTAAATGTCTGTGTTACGTTCTTAGAGAACCATAACCAAACAGAACACAAGAATATAGAAATTCGACTGATCTTTGTAATTCAAAATTCGGCACCAGATGTGCTATTGTGAACGGATTTGTCTTACATTAAATACATGTATCTTTTATCAGATCAAATCATAACGCCAATCTTGAAACACATTTCTCTTAGAACATGATTTGACTGGCTATCAATAATGTGAATGATAATGACAATGACACGTGCATGCATTTATGGTGGCATAAGATCAATTAAGTTGCGAAAGAGAAGCACGACGAAAGCAGAAACTAAAATCTTATAATATCAAAGAATGTTCCCAAGTCTCGTCTGAGGTAACACTCAAAACAAATGACTTTATGATCTACTCATAAATAGGAAGGTGTCATTTGTATCATCAATCTGAACAACTTACATAAGCTCCAAATGTGAAGAAGCTAACAATAACGACGATATACAGCATATCAACACATTTTTATACATTAGAATAAGGTTTCACTTACGCCCCCCAACCATACCAGGTCCCATTGTCCCGGACAAGTTGGATGACGTGCCACTTCCTGTCATCTTTACCTTTCCATCTGCATTCCCGAAAACATTCAAATCTTCAAATAACCTGTAAGAGGGAACAAAGGGTTTTTGTCCGGTAGCACTTGCAGGGTTTCTCACTCCAGAATTCCCCCTAGGGTCTCCGCTAACTGTGGATCCGCCAGTTCCTCTGGAAGGGAATGAATAGTTATGTTGCAAGGGCGCAGATGTATATGACGCTGTTGGATTGGGTTGAGGAGTTGAAATTGCATTTGCGGCAGATAAATGGTTTTGATAGTTGGGATATCCTGGTGTGGCCGCCCATGGTGGGGGAGGATATCTTGCTGGGTATTGAGGATTCTGATTCTGAAATTGTTGCCGTGGGTGAGATTGCTGAACTTGTAGCGGTTGGGGCCTAGACTCTACCTGTAGCTGAGGTTGTGGTGGAGATTGTAGATGGGGTTGGGGTTGAGGATGAGACTGTAAGTGTGGTTGGGGTTGAGGGCCTTGAGGCTGAAACTGTAATGGTTGGGGTTCATTTTGAGGTTGCAAATGTTGTTGCGGAGGGCAATATTGAAGATGTTGACTCTGCAGTTGTGACTGAGGTTGTCCTTGCAATACAGACGGCGATTGTGGTTGTGGTTGGGGTTGTGATTGTGATAGTTCTGACGGGGGCTGCGACCACGCTTGTTGGGTTTGTTGATGAGGCTGTACTTGTTTTGATTCATAATGTGTATGTAATTGTTGAGATGAGGATGGGGTCGGGGGTTGTGATTGGGATTGATACATATGTTGTTGAGGCTGGGTTTGAAATTCTGACTTAGATTGAGGTTGAGCCCAAGGGACAACATAACTGTTGTATGTTAAATTTCCAGGATATGTTTGGGAAGCATAAGAATACTCTTCTGTTCTGGGGGGAACAGGCATCTGATGCATGCCTTGGCTAGAGGCTGATGGCACATAGGTTGGCTGTGGGGAAGATGGTGTTGTGGACAAAGTGAGACTCAGTAAGTCAATAATGTCCTGATCTTTTGCAGTACTAACTGGTGCAGGTGGGGTTGGAAGAGCTAATGCATTGGATGGGACCGAGATTGACGTGTCTGGCACATGTGGAGTTGGGCTGCTAGTGTTCATTGACACTGAATTTTCATTGTATCCAGTTGTAGTATCTTTTGAAGTCACTGGCTGTGCCCTAGAATGCCTGCAATAATAGTACAGAGTTCATATTGAGTAAAAAATGATTAAAAAATACTCACAAACCCTAATCAAACAATATAACCATGACCTACATACAATACATGTTGATGTACAAATTTATTGGAAATTCTATGATAAAGAAAACTATGGATTTATAGGGCAAATATATATATGAGAAGTGCTTTATGCAATGATTTCAACTCAATGAAATGAATAAAAATTCACTTGGCCATGCATATCCATACATAAATAGACCTAAATGTAGGCAATAAACACTTATATTTTCAGATAAGTTACACATCCTGGTGTCATATGTCCATAACCATGAACACTGAAATATCAATTTAAGATATATTATCAGTTCAAAGTAACCTTCGAGCTAGCTGTGCAAATTCATCTTCTTCCTCTTCATCACTCTGGCCCTTAGTTTCAGATAAGACTATGGTTGAAGGGCTAGCTTTAGATGTTGAAGCAGATTCTGCAGGGCTTGAGCTCTTTATATCGGTTTGATTGACACTAGAGTGAACTTCAGTTGACACAGTGCTGGAACTTTCTCCTTGAATTGGAAAGGGAGTACCGGAAGCAATTGCATCATGCCTTGCAAGCAAACTTTGAATACTATCATTTAATTCAAGGCCTCGTCCAAGAAGCTCCTCATCCCTATGACAACCAAGATAAAAAGAAGGCTTATTCCACACATCCTGTGGAGACAAGATATCAAAAAGCAACACACAATTATGGTTGGGTATGTGCCATGTGCTATTGTTGAGGGGAACTAACCCAGTTGTTGTTAGCATCTGCATCAATTTTTTTTGGTTTGTGCGACAGCGATCCACAAGATCAATGATTACTTCATCTTTTACAGCCTACAAAGCATAATAACCAAACAATTATCATTTTAGTGGTGGCAATTAGCAAGGACAATTCTAGAAGGCCAAGCAACAGAGTTCAACATACTGCACGGTCACCAGGGTTCACAGCCTGTAGCATGTCACTCAAAAGGTCCAAAACATGCCGCATGGAATCCAAGCTTGACAAACTACGAATTTCAAGAGTGAGTTAGCCAAAAGACAAAGTTGGCAGCACACAAGTTCAGTGAAACAACAAAAACAAAAGCAAGGGTGAGTAAACAAAAAATCAGAGTTTCACCTTAAACTTTCTATCTCTGTTGCCATTGTTTCATCAAGTGTTTTTGATGAATTGCTTGGCATCCCATATCCAGCTTGCATATTTCTTATCATTGGATGAGTAGGAGGTGGAGTAAATATCGGAGCTGCATCTGGTGAACGCTTGGGAAAAGCTACCCCAGATCGCTGCAATTTATATAATCCAACAGAATAATTTGATGATATGATCTAATGGTCAGTGAATTATAACTCACATGTAATTATGGCTTATAGATATCAATGCAATCTTCTATCCTGCACTTAAAATGTAAATTAGTAAAAAAGTGGATGAGGTTGAGTTTTGCCAAGGAACATTTCTCCACACTAAGGTTTGGAAGGAAAAAAGTATGTAAAGCTTACAATTCACCCAATTTAATTATGTCACAAGAGACTTGCAGAAATAACTAACTACATTTTTATGCAAAGCATTTAAACAAATTATTTTGAGGTCTAAAATTTAGTTACAAAATTCAAATTTGTATAGTTGTTATAAAAATGTCTATTTTGCTTTTGTCCTTAAAATTGAAAATATGGACAATCATTTCACAGGGGTATCTGCAAATGTCAAGTGAACATCATTTCTAGCATCCCACTTTACATGTGGGACAATCAAGATAGACATTGATAAAAACCAATCGAGAAATTTGATTGAGTAGACAGTTGTGTATACTTTACCTTTAATTCCTCATACGCCCAATAGTACTGAGGATATTTTCCACCTGGTCCCCCGAATGCCTCTTGCCATGAGTCCAGCAAGATCAAAATTTTATCCCGCACTTGCATGTCTGCCTAAATTATCATCACATGAAACAAGAAAACCACAAAAAAACAAAAAAAAAGTTAGCTCAAACTAGTCATCGAACAGATATAGAGAACAATCCATATATTGTTTTAATAGGATACCGTCCATATTTAGGTTATCTAATAAATCCTATGGACACCAACTCAACATTATAACATTTTTATTTCGATTGAGAAACACCACCCATAAACATTTATCATTTATTCAGATAGTTTTGAGCCAATGATCCAGTAGTAACCAATTTAAGGTGGGAAAAAAGACTGGCATTAATATATAGAAACATAATGATGAAGACAGTGGTTGAATCTAAGATCATAAATTAAGGAAAACCTTCACTGGAACATAATGGTCATTATTAATGTACAGCAGTAGGCCATTGAACTTGATTTGGACAAAAATGGAATCAAGCAAAATGCAGTTAAACCAACATCCTCAGATGCCATAATAACCAAACATAAATTAAACCTTGATTTTTGCATTGAACTTTAATATTAACCACTTTCCATAGTAGTCCTGAACATGCCAGTTTAGTAGAGAGAAACAACGGTTCCCAGTCTAAAATGGATTGCAAGTGCTTAACACAAAGCCAATATGAATCCAGATTAATAATATCATCTTCTGAATACTTTCTTTATTTCTTTAAGGTTCAAATTTTTAATTTTTACAAATATAAAAATTGTATACAATGAAAAAGGGGAGCCAAAGACTAAACACTAAGGCTATGAGCATGGTAGTTTAAATTCTGGAGTTGAATCAAAAGTCACAAGGCACGAACTATTCAAATCGCAGCAAAAATTGTTCCCTGGTAAAATCATAGTGAAATCGGGAATTAAATCATAAAATTGGGATTTCAAAGTTTCATGAAATCCCAGAATTGGATCTGGATCTTGGCCCAGTTTGATCATAACTCGATGGATATGTCCCAATTTTGAATGGTCGACTTAAATTTCTGTTTGAATCCTAAGTCCCAAGATGGGACTCAGTTAAGATGTGCATCTCCCTTTCTTTCTTGCTAGAACCCTGGTCGACATTGGCGACCTCAACCAGTCCAATGGTGTGCAACTTGCTCGGCACCCAAGTCAGCAGGGTGCAACTGCTTCTTGTCCGACTGTGACTATCTTCTGCATGATCTTTTGATGGTTTTGTCTATTTAATCTTGCTCTGTTCTGCTCTTTGGTTTTCGTCTCATCTTGCTCTGTTTTCCTAATCTTGTCCAAGTCTGAAAATGGCTTGGCTTCGAACTCGGGTGCTTATGGAATATGGAATATGATCTATTAATGCAAGTTTACTTAAGTGTTTTTAGTGATTTAATGTTTTTTTTTTTTAATTTATGCTAATTTATATGTATAATATGAATTTATTATATGCAAGTATATAATTTTTGTTTCACGCATAATATACACAAATTAAATCAAAACACCTACAAAGTTTCCAAATTCCAACTAACACCACTTACCTTCTTCCTTACAATTTTGATCATCTCCTCCAATATGTTCCTCTCAGCAATTTGAAAGTGCACATAATCACCACAGTTCTTCACCATTGTCTCCAGAAGCTGGGGAATAAGTAGACAACCAGAAACCATAAATCAAGTTCAAAACAAATGAAATTGAAATTTAAGTATTGCAGTCGCAGGGCACGGCCACAAACAAAACAACTTGAGGAAAATATGGAAAGCACAGACCAAAGGCCAGTGCCAATGAAGTACCGTGAGAGCCAGTAATTGAACTTTTGAGCTCCTATGTTGTAATCTCTTCTTCACAGCTTTTACCACATCTTTTGGCAGCCTGAGAAATTAAGCATGTGGTACTCATCAAAAGATTTAGAACAAAAAGCAGTGTAAATTTGCGAAAGACGAATTTAGTGTAGGAATAACAGGGATAGAAAGGAGAAAGAAGCAAGTTGACAAACTAGTTTGTACTATCATCAATTTTTGTTGCACTTAGACACCAATAATTGTGCATGAAAAAATTAGAAGTCACCAAAATAATAAAAGCTGAAAAGAATTTCATAATTCCTATAATTAGCAGAAAAGAACAAGCGAACAACCAGTTTCCACTATTTTCCAGATAATACAATCCCTTTAACCGATTCTTAACAAAACATGCAAAAATTCCCCAACAACCCCCATAGCCCCCAAAAATAATAAAAAAAATTGCAAAATTTTTGCCATAAATTTCATCTCATAACAAAACCCACATACATATGCACCGAACATTATATTAAAAAACATAAACATCAAAAGCATGTGGCCGTTGATCAAAGTCAACCCCTCAAAAATAAAAATAAAAAGTCATGAAATTGATTTGCCATCTTTCTCCTTTTCTTGAAGTTGAAGATTACCAATGATTAGAATTGATGGAATCACAAATTTCGATGTTCATGGTCCAATCAGGGCCCATAAGAAGATCGCTGGTCGCCTTCTCCACTGCGACAGTAGCTGAAGAAGAAGAAACAGCCATCATATTTTCCCTCTCTCTCTCTCTCTCTCTCTGAACTTTCAAGGAACACCAGAACAGATTCTCGGTTCAACGACCCAAAACTGAAAAACGAAGAAAGACGAAAACTTTCCACAAAGTTTATTCAAAAACCACCTCAACGATTGTTTGGAAGAGAGGAAAATTACGAAACCCTAACGGAATTCATGAATGGAACAATCGAAAACAATAATCCAAAAAGTCGTCCCTTGTTTTCTCAAATAGCTAAAAGTATTTTTTTTTTTTTTCTCGCTCTCTCTCGACTAAAAAGGGAAATCGGGGAATTTTCTCTTTCCCATTATTTTCTCGCAACAAAAAAATTTTCCCGGAAAGTTCGTAATTTTCCTTTTTCTCCCTCTCTCTTTCGTTTTTTCGCTGAAAGGGGTGCGAGTTTAGTGCGGTGTGATTCGACGCACTCGCTCTTCTGAGACTTCGAAACCCACGCGCCACGTGGCAGATAATCATGAACAGCAAATTTGAATTTGGCTTTCCTTTTTCTTCTTCTGAATATATTCATCATGGTGTCACCCATCAAAATTCTTTGACTTCTAATTTATAATTTCAAAATCTGAAGCAGATATTGGATTGTTCAGACTTCTAATTAATAATTAATTAAGTTTTACTCAATTAATTAATTTGAAAAATTAAATGTATAATTAATTTCTTGAATATATTATAGCTAACTTAAATATCATTTAACCAAGGGTCTTGTTAATAAGTATTATTTAATAACATATATAATGTTTTTTTATTACAATAACAAATATAATGCTAAGATATTAAAAGTCTACAAAATATTTAATTTAAAATTCTTTACAAATATTTTTAAAATAATTCTTATAACATCTGTCATGTTAATATGACTTGTCAATAAGTTTAGATTAAAGTCTTTTAAGACATTAATTCGTGATTTGATATTTCAATAAGCTAGATATACTAATTCTTTTGCACGTAGCTATATATTCAATTTTAAAACATTATTTAATAACCGATGAAATAAGTTAAATTATATTAATTTTTATATTAGCAATAATTTTATATGAAATATAATTTTTGTACTAACCGATAAATTATATATTATATTAACTTTGTGTAAAGAATTGTTAAAGTTAAATAATGATAAAAATATAATTTTATTTTTATAAATTTTAAAAGCATGTATTTAATTAATTTTAATGTATATAAATTATTACTAAATTTTATTGACAAAATTTATATGTAAGATTTTAATCTAATTGATTTTACAATAATTTTTTTGATAAAATATTATTTTTACTTATCTAACTTAAATATAAATATATAATTGAAAAATAATAAAAATATACTTAAATGATTCTTATTTTATATATTTTAAAAATATATATTATATTAATTTTAATCTATATAAATGTGATATAAATAATTTAAGATTTATTTAAAACTTTATTGACATAGTATATGTAATTTTTATTAACATAATGTATATGATAAAACTTTTTAATTTAATGGCTAATTTTGAGATAAAATTTTTCAATAAAAACTATTAAATAGTATAATTATTGAATAATTTATACTGGCTGAGTTTAAAAAGAAATTGTTATGAATAAATTTTAGACATTAATGTTCAAAATAAATTTATTTAGACATTATTTTAATTTTTAAGTTGATGTTTATTTTAAATTATAGTTGACTTATTGGTGTGTACAAAAAAAAGGCAAAAAAAACTAATCTTACTGACTGCTATGTTAAAAAAATTTAATATCTTATGTCTTAGAGTTTTTTTTTTTTATCTAGTGAGAAAGATACAAATGATTTCAATGAGGATAACTTTCTGTGCTGCGGAAAAGTTACATTATTATTTCTTAATATTTTTATTAAATTAAAATAGAAGCGGAGCCAATAATAGAATATAATATATATTCTAGACGTTTAGATACTGATTTATGCTTAGAAAAAAAAAATTAAAAAATGCAAAATGTTATATGGGGAATTAAAAATAAAATATTTTGTGAAAGTTTTTTCTTTTCATTGGCTAATAACATTATATAAGCGACTAGAAAAGTGAAAATGACACACTGAAAGCAAACCAAAAAGAGAAAGGGGAGAGGAAGCTCTTCGGCTGATTTGCTGCCATTCTCTTCGTTTAATAATAATAATAATAATAATAACTACTTTATTATGAAATTATCCTCTATATAAAAAATTATAGTGTAAAACAATTTTAAAAAGGTGAATTTAAATTTAATAGTTGAGAAAGACTAGTAATATACTTTTAACACATTTTTATTGATATATTTTTAGTTATTATTGAAAATTATAAAAATTATATGGATTTTTTATTTTTAATTTTATTTAATGTTTGTTGCCCATTTTTTATAATTTTTAGTGAAATTTAATTAATAATTAGAAGTATACTAAAAAGAGTGTATTTTAAACACTTCTCTTAAAAATGTTGTCAAAATAAGCTTATTATTAGTGACCTAATCATAGATTTAAGAAATTTTATTTCTTTTGAATTAAAAAAAGGGTAATGTTACTTAGATATCTTTTAATAATAATTTTTATCATTAATTAATCATCTCTCACCATCTTCATTTCTCACTGACAATTATTATTATCATTATTATCGTTTACCTTTATCATAACAATAACATTATTATTATTGTTAGAGTATTATGGTCAGTATAACAATTATCAGTTTTATATATAATAATAATAATAATTTTTTATATTATTAGTATAATAATAATTATTATTATTCTATTGCTATTATTATCATCATTGTTATGTCATTATATATAATTTTTACTAATCTAATCATTACAACACAGTATTTATTGTCATAATTACTATCTTACTATTTTTATTGCTTTAAATTTTTACGATTATTATTAATGCCATCTCTATTCTCACTATTATTAGTTCATTCGGTAGTTATTAATAAGATTATTACACCCTGTTATTTGTTTATATTTTATATTGCTTCAAGTTTATAGTTATTATTAATGTCAAATTTATTTATTTATTTTATCTATTATTATCTCAACGTTAAATAAGTTTAAATTGAAAAATAAAAAATGATTTATGTAGTTTAAATTCAAGAGTTGATATTAAAATTTAAAAATTAAGAAAATTAAAAATCAGTTTGAATTTGAAAAATAAAACTTAAAATTGATACATATCGAAGAAAGCCTAAATTGTTTTAAACACAAATTTTCATATTTTATTTTAAGAATTACTATATATTTTGTACTTATTATCTAATTATAATTATAAAATAAGACATATGTTGATACAGACAAACTTAAAAAATAAATAAAATAAGTTTTTATTATAAAATTATATAGTTATTAATATCCCCTTTAACTTGCAAATCGGCTCCGCCACTATTGACCAGAACAACACTTCCAGCGTGAAGTACCCAGAAAAGCACCAACTTTGCTTGTGTGCTTAAAAAAAGTTAGATAAACAAAATCTAAAAAATGAAAAAATAAGAATAATAGAAAAGGATAATAAAAATAATACTGTTTATTTCAACTATTTTGATTTAGCTCATTTTATCCCATCATTAAATAAAAACAGTTTAAAAACTTTCGTAGTGTACACAACAAGAAATTAAATATCAGACATCATATATAATTAATGTATTCTTGTTTCATTTTCAAGAATTATATTAGTGTCCTGTAAAGCTTGAATAATTTCACAAATATAAAATCACAAAAAAAAAGCCATAAATCAAATAAATACAATTACTTTGTCACTAAAAAAAACTTTTTTGAAAAAAGAAAAGTGGGCACTCAGAGCCAGAAAGTGATAAAGTGAATGAAAGTGAAAATGACAAAAACCAAAATTATTGTTAGTGGAATATGGACTCTTGGGTGGAGAGTTTAAATAGAAATATTATATTTTGAGTGATTTTCGAATAAATCGCCAAATTTGGACTTCGAAAAGCAAAAGAATTTGCATTTTACGTCGTATTAGCGGCCACGCGCGTCTGACCGTGCGTGATTCTTCATTTTCTTAATCATTCATTATTCATCAGTTATTATTGTTATATGGCCAAAGACCACAACACGTGGCAGTTTCACAATGGTTGGATGAAAAAAGTCCTCAATCCTCATCGTGATTAAAAGGGCACTTAAGGATGCCCCATTTGTTATATTATAATTATAGTAACATATAACAATTTTAAATTTTATTTTCTTATAAAAGTATTTTCAAATTGATACTGTATATTAAGATTTTACAACTAAAATTTAATATAAACAATATTTAAAAATAATAATTAGCAAAAAAATAAATACTCAATATAAAAAATTCTGCAATAAATATTATTTGGATAGTTTGCAAGTTAATATGAAAAATTGACTATACATGACAAATCCATAAGTTTTAATCTGATTAGCATGGATATGAGTTTAAATATTTTTATACGTATGAATATGTTTTAAGTGTTATTTATGTACGTTCTTATAATATCTATAATTTTTCAAAAATAATTTTATTAAAACTTTGATACTTAAAATAATCAAGAACTTGAGAATAAATGTAATATAAGTGAGGGCGAGTAATCTTTGAAATGTAAATTCAACACTTAGATAGGAGATAGAGGCTCTAGCGAAACCATCCATAATGATGTGAGTTCTTTGAGTAGATGACAATATATCTTTACTGTATATAAATAACCTTCAATGGTGTGATCTCCCTTAAAATACACCCTTCAATAATGGGATTTTAATGAATCATTGTTCTTAAAAGATGAAGTTTATTGTTCAATAGCAGGATGATGTATTTTCAATAGAAATGAACATATTTAATGCAAACTATACCAAATAAAATTTGAAGAGATATTTGATCATTTATGTTTGGAATGATAAAATGGTGATCATAAAGTTTTATTGATAAGAGTTGATGATCACATGAGTAAGATACATATATATATGAAGTCAATTGACAAATGGATATTTTGTTAAAAGAAAAAGAGGAGTCTTCCATTTTCTATTCTTAGAAACACTCACATAAAAAAAATAAAAATAAAAGGAGAAAAAAAAATACATGATTATAATATTAGTTGATTAACACTTCTTACTCACCTTTACAATTCTTACACAAACAAAATTGCTAACTTAACATACAACTATTCAATCCTCTAGTATATTTAAAAGACTACATATTATTGCAAGGAGAAAATATAAAATGAATCTTCATATTTATAAAAAAAATTTATCTATTTCTTTTTCAAATTTTTGATGCGAGACTTTACTAAATAATTCACCATAACTCAACGTATTGTATAGATGGTAGGGAAGATATTTGACAAATTTTTAGTACACTTCTTAATGGAGTTTGTCAAATCATAACGAGAGATGTTTATTAATTGTAAATTATAATAAACTATTTTACTATACAAAATAAACTAAAGAGA